AAGTCGTTCTGTTGATGCCTTGGCATTCTCCCTGAAGGGAGAAAGTTCTTTCTTCCTCTCACTCTCTTTTTGTTTTGATGCTAACATAGCATCAGTTAGCACCTTCTCAATTATCAATATAGCAATCTCTTTAAAATTGTTGTAGAATCTTTCTCTCCCATATCAAGTAATTGTATTTTTGGTAGTAATTCATAAACTTCTCATGTTTGCTACTACTGAGTTATCTTGCAGTTTCATTTCATAGGGGACCTTTGTTCATTTATAAGTAGATGATTTGATGTTTAGTCTGATGATAGGACAGGCAGGAAATTCATCCTGTAGAGATGGAGTATCCCAGGTCAGCAGAACACCTGGTACTTAATTATCTGTGTTTGAATGGTCCAAAGGCAGGACTTCTGGGAAGAATTGTCTGTGTGTGTTGGATGGAAGTTAATTATTTGAAGGTAGGGAGAAGGTGTTGGAAAAAAAATGCAAACCAAAACACAGTTAAAAAGTAAAGCAGTGATGTCTCTCCTGTACTTCTGTATTTCTTTCATAATGAGAAAATCTCTCTATTGACAAAAATTACTTCAACCAGATTATACAAACTTACAGTTTGGAGAATAACTTACGCCATGTTTTTTATATGTGTATGTATGTATATGTATTTTTTCATTTCAACAGACATTAGATCAGCTTCCACTCACAAATCCTGAACACTTTGGGACTCCTGTTATAGGAAAGAAAACAAACAGAGGAAGGAGATCCAATCATATGTAAGTTTAACATCTTTGTGTCTGTGATTCTGTATTCAATTCTGAAGCTTTCAGTGCCTGTGGAGTTGTATTAGTTGTACGTTCAGGCTTCTCTTATTCAAAAAACAGGAAGCTATACGAAAAGTGTCATTTAGCATTCAGACCAAAAGTCATTTTACAACTATTGTTGCATACAAGAATTACAAGTCTTCATGTAATCAGTATTTAAAATAGTACTGTGTATAGGCAAGAGATTTTCTCTTATTTTTGCTATTTAAGTAAAAAAAGAAGGTGGCACACCAAGTGGAAATGTGTTGATAAGCTATATTCAGAAGCTTCTCTGTAGCAGAATATTAGTATTATAAATGTGTTGGACTCAAAACCCAATGCTTTATCAGCACTGCAAATGATGACATAAAAATTAGGGTGGGGAAAATAAAACATAATAATTCAATTTAGACTGCAAATCAGTTGTCTTCTGTTACATAAATGCTAACTGTGAGTCTTCTGTTAATATTGGACTTTATACTCAAAAGTAGTTATGTGAAAAATGGAAGACAGCTTTTAAAATTCTGCTTGTGTTCATTGAACCCGCTGTGTATTTTCTGAGAATTAACCTTCAAAGTGAATAGTAAAAAGAAATATGTATCTAGAGAGCACTAGGTTTTGTTAGGTTTTTTGGGGTTTTTTTAATCAGTTGCAGGTAATTTTAGTTGGAGCAGTTTTGTACATTTAGACTCCCCATATGGTTAAAACCAGGTGCAACTTTGTACTGGAACAGTTAAAACAATGAGCCAGAACCCTTTTTAATCAAAATGTATTTGCACCTTTGCCCATCTGCTTACATTCCAACACTTCATTCAATGTGAAATTGAAACAGTCATTAAAATGCTTCACTGCACAACTCAACTGTTTGAGGATAAATAGACTTCTCTTTCTCTTTGCTATTTATCTTCATAGCTGATGTTTCTTCTTCAGAGATTTGTCCTCTCTCAAAATAGCTTTTTATTCTGCATGGCTGTTAAAGTAAAAGCATAGAGAGATTAAGAGATAAAACAAAACAGTTTAGCTTGATGTTGGTCCAAAACTACAACAGTATTTTTGAACAGTGCTTCACTAGGGCGGAATTGTAATTTTGAATGTCCTGACAGTGCATTTCTATTCCGCCATGTGGATGCATGGTGGTGTTCTGTTCGGTTTTTGCATGTATTACATGTAGATGCGCATTTCTGAGTTTGTAATGTTTGAGTTGTTACTATAATATCCTTACAAATACTTCTAATTGTTTTTATCCTAAAATATTTAACAGGCAATTCAGGTCACTATTATTTATGCCTCTATGACAATTACCTTTGGATCTCCTGGAATTTTAATAGGCAAGTTTTGAACAGTTGAGTTTTAAGTCTTTTTCTGTTGTTTAGTCCTGAAGAAGAATCTTCATCCTCTTCCAGCGATGAAGATGAAGACGATAGGAAACAAAGTGACGAGTTATTAGGAAAAGTTGTGTGTGTGGACTGCTTTAGTGTGGATAAAAAGAAAGCTCTGTGGTTTCCAGCCTTGGTAAGAGTTTAATCTTTATTTTAATTTTGTAAATTTTTGTTTCCTAGGCACCAAAGAAAGGTGTCTTTTTTTCATTTTTGATTGATTCATCTATATTTTTATTGGAACTTAATATGTTTCTTCAAATTGGACTGTATCATAATAGTCAAAGGAAATATTCTGTATGTAAATATGGTTGTTTACAAAAAGTGATTGCTCACATGGCTTCAGGTTTTCCAAACAGTCAGAGCTTGTTGACCTAATTCCAGTACAACAGTTTGTTTAGTACTACTGAACTAGAATTTATGGGCTTTTTTCCTAGGCTATTGCATGCCATTTTTTTGAACCACCAAGTTTTATCAAGGAAGAAAATTCAAAGAATTGCAAAGAGGGGAAGCTTAGTGATTGCACAGATATTATTTTTTTAGGTTCAAGATAAAAACATTTGATAATAAAATCAGATGTTTTTTCTTTGTTGCTATGGTAGGTAGTAGAGAATTGTCAATACATTTCCTATAAAATAACATTGTAGTCTTTTAGTACAGATATTTTCTATCTTTATTTTGGTTTGAAGACGCTTTTTTTACAAATAAACTTGTAAAATATCATTGTTAGTCTAAGGATTGCATTTAGGTTGAGTGATACATTTGGAAATTAATGTCTTTCCATATGTGGTACTTTCTAGTACCATGCTTTTAATTTTTATTTTATTATTAATTGTAAATATTTGAATAATTTGTCCCTGGCCATGGAAGCTTAAAATGTTTATCTGATTTCAGGAAGACTTGTGCTCAGCTTTTGAAAAGATGCCATACAGTAACAGTTAACTCTGAGAAGAGTGTACAATAGCTCTCAGTTGCAACTTTCTACTTATCACCTCCTGTGTCTTGTAATGTAGTCCAGAGGCTTTCCAGCAGGACTTCTTTTGGAAAAGTTGGTGGGAGAGAATGAGTCATT